TGGTGTAGTGGTTAAGTTCGTGCGCTCTGCTTCGGCAGCCCAGGGTTCGCAGGTTTGGATCCCGGGCGCAGACCTACACACCACTTGCACACTGTGGCAGGCGTCCCACATATAAAGTAGAGGAAGATGGGCATGGATGTTAGCCCAGGGCCAATCTTCCTCAGCAAAGAGAGGATGATTGGTAACAGATGTTAGCTTAGAGCTAATCTTCCTCACCAAAAAAAAAAAAGAAAAAAAAATGGGAAAAGGACCTGAATAGACATTTTCCAAAGAAGACATACAAATGGCCAACAGGTATATAAAAAAGTGCTCAACACAACTAATCTTTAGGGAAACGCAAATCAAAACCACAATGAGATATTACCTCACACCTGTTAGGATGGCTATTATCAAAAAGACACGAGATAACAAATGCTGATGAGGATGTGGAGTAAAGGGAAGCCTTATTATACGCTGTTGGTGGGAATGTAAATTGTGAAGCCACTAAGAAAAAGAGTGTGGAGGTTCCTCAAGAAATTAAAAATAGAACTACCATATTGACCCAGCAATCCTACTTCTGGGTATATACACAAAGGAGACGAAAGCAGTATCTTGAAGAGATATCTGCACTCCCATGTTCATTGCAGCATTATTCACAATAGTCAAGGTACGGAAACGATGCAAGTGTCCATCAAGAGATGAATGGATAAAGAAAATGTGTGTGTATATATACAATGAAATATTACTCATTACAAAAAAAAAGAAGGAAATCCTGTCATTTGCAACAACATGGATGAACCTGGAGGACATATGCTAAGTGAAATAAGCCAGACAGAAAAAGACAAATACCTCATGGTATCATTTATATGTAGAATCTTAAAAAAAATATATCAAGCTCATAGAAACAGAGAGTAGAAAAGTGGTTGCCAGGGCCTGAGGAGTAGGGGTGGAGGAAATAGAGATGTTGGTAAAAGGGTGGAAACTTTCCATTATAAGATGAATAAGGTCTGAGGATCTAATGTATAACATGGTGACTATAGTTGATAACACTGTACTGTATAATTAAAATTTACTAAGAGAGTAGAACTTAAATGTTCTCACACACAAAAAACGTAAATACATGAGGTGATGGATGTGTTAATTAATTCAATGGGAGGAATCCTTACACAAGGCACCAGTATACCAAATCATCACACTATACACTTTAAGTATCTTACAATTTTATTTGTGAATTATACCTCAATAAAGCTGAGGAAAAAAAAGAATGAAAAGTTGCTGATGGTGCCACATTAGGCTCACACTTTTAATAGAGTCATTTTTACCAGGCTTCCATATTGTGATAAAAACTCCCCAAAATAGATATTTCGATTCCATGAGATGGCCCCACTGCTAAATAAATATAATTATTCTTACAAAATATACCTACCCCACATTTATGCTGTGCTAGAAAGTGTGAAGGCCATACTTAACCAACATCAAAATCTAAATGATGTCATTTTCTTGCTAGACTAATAATATGTACATCCTGAGTAAAATATAATTACAGAATAAAATGAATACTTACTACCCTCAAAAAGATTATATTTTTCACATCCAGGTGCTAGTTTTTCAGTTTGTCTGCAACACTGATAACTTCCATCTGCCCAAAATTTAGGATGATATTTAATCATAATATTATTGTTGTTCTTTATTTCTGTAATTCATAGACACATTAAATGATTAGTGAAATAAAACAAAGATGACAGAATATTTCATAAGTAACACTGTCAATCATTCTTTATTTCTCGGATACCATGTTTATTATGAGAACACCCTCATAACATCATACAACCCAGCATTCAGAAAATCCATATGGTTCTCTTTCATCTCATTTTTTGGTGAAGCACCCTTGTTAGCAGAAGTGACCTCTGCTACTCCGTGATGAATAAACACAAGTCAGCCCACTGCCATTTTCTTCTGCAGAAGATGTGATGAGGATTGTGCAAGACAAATCACCCATTTAAACACTTCATGCACAAGTCAACGCATCCACACCAAATGCTGACAACATAGGCAACTTGTTAGAAAATACCAAAACCTATTATCATAAAAGCCCAGTGCTTTATCATCTTGAAATGTATTACGCATTAAATGAAAGCATGCTTTTCTCAGGCAACTATGTATATGCTACTAGAAGGAATCAGATTATAAAAAAGGAAGTTATCTTCAGTATGTATCACTTTCAGTAACAGAATGTCCTTGGAGAAACATTTTTTGTAGATTAAAAGATTATAAATGCAAGATACATTAGCTGTACTTCTGTTTTAGTGATAATGTTACATCCTAAAATTATGTACAGATTAATATTTCATTATATGAGTTTTACCTTCTTTTAACTTCTTCACCCACCGGTCCCTGCTTTGTGCACTAGGTGCAAAAATGTAAAGTGTATTAGCATCATGAACAACCTAAAATAAACAAAAGATGGAATAGGTGAGAAATACTTAGACACAGCACTTCTGTCTAGCACAGAGCTCTTGGTACCGCAGGCACCAATAAATGATTCTGAAATGACTGAATAAAAGTCAATTACCTCAGATCCAAAGAACCTAGATCCCTTTCTTACAAAAGCGCATCTATCTTTTCATGTCTACATCGAATGGAATAGATATTTTGCAAAGGACTGTGTTTTTATAGAAAAAAAATATATAGAGAGCCCAGGATGCCTCACTATGTACACAATGTACATCCTGACTACATCCTGTACATTATATATTATAAATATATAATAAGAAATATATATTTATTCTTCATCCTGGTTCCTGGCACAGAGCTGGAAACCCTTGGAATTTCAGTGTCTTTTGTTATGCTAATGAGATGACTTTTGGAAAACACCTATGGATGGGGACTGGTTGCCAGTGAAGCCAATCATGTAATTGGAGGGTTGAAATTTGCAGTCTCTGCTGCAGGCCCCCCCAACACACACTGCCCCCAGGAGGGGAGAGGGGTTAGAGATTGAGCTCAATCACCAATGGCCAATGAGGTAATCAATCGTGCATATGTAATGAAGCCTCCATAAAAACTCAAAAAGGAGAAGGATCAGAGAGCTTCCGGGTTGGTGAACTCGTGGAGATTTCGGCAGGGCATGGGGCTTTGTGCCCTTTCCCCATACCTTGCCCTATGTATCTCTTTCACCTGGCTGTACCTGAGTTATATCCTTTTATAATAAACCAGTGATCTACTATGTAAAATGTTTCTCTGAGTTCTGTGAGGCACTCTATCAAATTAATCAAACCCAAGGAGGAGGTTGTAGGAAACTCTGATCTACAGCCAGTAGGTCAGAAGCACAGTCCAACCTGGACTCGGTGATTGGCACGTGAAGTGAGTGCAGTCTTGTGGGACTGAGCCCTTAACCTGTGGAATCTGATGCTAATTCTGGGTAGAACTGAGTTGAATTGTAGGACACATGGGGAGAAAAACAATTCCTCTACCCTCTAGGTCCTTCTGGCTGGTCTAAGAATTAAATTGACATGAGACAGAATAACAGGAGAAAATCAAACAAAGCTTTATAACATGTATACATGGGAGAAACCCAGGAAAACAGAGTAACTCACAGAATGGCCAAAGCTGCCACCTTAAATACCATTTTCAGCTAAAGACAAAGGAGGATGTTGGGGGTAGTAGTTTGGGACTTCAAGTGGGGAGGAAGGCAATTTATATGGAGATGGAAATGCAAATGGGCCAACTATAGACAATGTGACCTCAGAGACACATTTTACATTACATTACAGTTATGGTATTACCTCCTTCCTTCTATCTTAAATTCTTTTAGGCAATTAGGGGGAAGGTCAAAGTTTCTTTCAGAGTCTTTTGTTCTTAAAAATAATCAAGCCAAAGAGACACATTTTAGGGTGGCCAATTCTGATCTCCCACAGACAACAAGTTGGTGTCAGAGAATTGCTTGGTGGTATGTTAAAAAAACACAGTGGACTTGAGTATCAGAACCTTACCCAGGTTCGTCCATGCAATCAACTCTGTACGGAAGAATTAGGCTAAAATGAACCATGAAACAGTCATTCTGAATTGACATGGAGGTATCTGGAAAGAACCACTAGGGCTTTGAACCTTCCGGAAACATGGGTGTATCGTAATAAGTTATTACAATAGTTTACCTTACTGAGTCTTTACATCAAGCTAAGTACTTTATATATACTGCCTCATTTAATCCATCTAGCAGCCCATGTCTCTACTAGCATTAGGATCCTCATTTTCCAGAGGAGAAAACCAAAGTAGATGAGGTTAAGTCATCTGAGTAGGATCTGTTTGACCCCCAAAGGCTCTTCTTATTCATGCTTCCTCCAAAGAATTCGCCCTTCAGGCTCCAAACAGTCTAACTTCTCCTCAAAACTTACCTCATGTCAGTACAAGGAGCTTGTAACTTTGTTCAAGTTTGTTAAAGACTAGCTAATCAGAAGAAAATTAATCCAAATTCAGAGTTTTGATAACTAAGACTAGATATATTACCTAGCTAACTCGGGGCATTTGTATTTCTATAAGAAATTTTTAGAAATAGCACCCTAAACTCAAATAATAAACATCTAATTCTGGCATCTCAGGTAGTTTGGCAGGCTGCTGGGTGAGGTATCTGGGGTCTAGTATCTTTCCCCCCAGATCACACCTGTAGACCACTTTCTATGTCATCCATGCGGACAGCTGACTGTGACAGAGGGAATCTGGGGAGCCTCGTTTCTCATGTGCCTCGCATCTTCTGGTGAGTCAGCCTATCACAGCAGAGGTTGTCAGAGGAGGGAAGAGCTTTGCAGACCTTGAGGCACAGAAGCCATTTCACCAAGGAGGAAATACACTCTCCCTTGGTAACACTACTAACTTATTGGTTACCCTCCCTCCTCTTTATATCTTCATTCACTCATTCATTTATTCAACAGACTTTTAATAACAAGGTGTTAAGGAAAAACAGTATGGATGTTATATAGACACACAAATCTGGGTTCAAAACACAGGAAAGAAACGCAACCTCCTGGGGAACCCCCAGCTACCATCAGAAATGGCTCATCTAAGGAAGCAGTGAAGTGGTACCCCACTAGGCAGCCGGTTCCTCCCTATTCTCTCTGTCCCTTCCTAGGGCTAGAACATGCTGGGAGAGGAAGCAACCTTCCTTTTTCTTTGGTGTCTTTTGAAAATGTCTACTTCTACTTCTTTTTATTTTTTTCCCTGCATCTGAACATGATGCAAACTTTCACTGTGAAAGTGTGAAACTAGGATCTATACTTTCTTAAGTTATACTTAAGCTATAAGAGAGGATATTTTTCATCTTTCAAATCTTGCTGGTTTAAATTACATAGTTCAAGCTGAAGTATACCTCTTCTTAATTTTTAAGATTGTTTTTGAACTTTTCTTATGTTTACTCATCTCAACAATGAAAAATGCTTCAGGGATGCAATGCTTTCTGTTCTCGCATTTTTCTCATCATTCTGAAAACCAACCCAAAGCTCACAGAGTGGATCTCTTTCTCTTGGACAGCAAGAATCCTAATTCTGGGTCCAGAATCATGAGAACCATAGCTCCCCACAACCACTTGGCACCCCCCAAAATGTCTAACAGCCATCAGAAGTGTGGTAGGAGTGGTTCTCTGCAAAATTTCAAATGAAATTACACACATACACACACACACACACACACCATTATATACACACGCAACATACTTAATCAAGAAGAAGATTTAAACTGGGCTTACTTCTAGATCTGGGTCATAGGTGTAGTGTTAGCAGCAGCAACAATAGTAAGTAAAAATAACAATAATAATGATAATAGCAACTAACACTTATCTTGCTCTCACTGTGTGTCTAAACTATTCATATATCACCTCAGTTAAGCCTCACAATAACCCTATAAAGTAAGTACTATTATTGTTATTATTCTCATTTTTCAGAAGAAGAAACAGACACAGAGCAGTTAAGTGACTTACACAAGGTCACAGAGCCCATCAGCAGCAAATCAGGTGGTCTGACCTCAGAATTGCCTCTTTAAGCACTTTACTGTCCCTGCTCTTCCCGCAAAGAAATGGCAGATGTAAAATGAGGAATGGGGAAAAGAAAAATTAAGTGTGGTCCTTCCTCCTATTGTGCTGCTGCCACCATAGTGAAAAGAATCCAGATGCGGTTTTAAAGCTTGAATATCGTAATTTATTGCTTTCAAGTCATCTTAATCTCCCAAACTGGTAAATGTTTATTTCAAATGTAACTGATAATTTCACAGTAGCAACTAAAAACAATCAAGCACCGGGCCGGCCCAGTGGTGCAGCGGTTAAGTACATGTGCTCCTCTGCAGCAGCCCGGGGTTCGCAGATTCAGATCCTGGGCGCGCACCAACGCACCGCTTGTCAAGCCATGCTTTGATGGCGTCCCACATAAAGTAGAGGAAGATGGGCACGGATGTTAGCTCAGGGCTGATCTTCCTCACAAAATAAAAAAAAAAAAATCAAGCACCCTACTATGATACTAGACTGAATTTTGACAACTTTCCCCTGAGTACATGGTGAGATCATAGCCATGGGTGAAAGGCGACTTTCACTGGAGACGTTCTGCTCAAATGAAAGCATAAAAATGTCCTCAACCAGAGGAGGGGGTGGTTAGGTGCAGAGAGGGGTCCTGGGCTGTCTGCTGCAAGCTCTGGAGTAGCAGGGTCCAGCTCTGCACTCCTGAATCCTCAAGGCTTGTGAGCACCAAGATCCCACACAGATGCAGAGCGGCTCAGGATGCCATGCCATCCTCCTTGGGAGTGACAGGATGTGGGTGTGTGTTCTAGGGAGGCTTTTCATTCACAAAATGACCTTGGAGAAGTCGTTTAACACCTGTAAGCCTCAATTTCCTCAGTCATAAATGAGAATAGTGCGAAATTTACCTTCCTTATATAATAGAATCATAGTGAGGAAAAAAATGAAATAACATAACCTTTTAAAAAAGTACAGTTTATTCCATATATAATGCTAATATTATATTTTGCATCAAAAGCAGCCTTTTAATCTCATTTCTGTTCGAGGAGCTCATTCCTGTCCCTTCTCAGCTTCTCAAATTCATAGAGAATACCTCATCTCACTTTTTTTCAGTCTCAGCCCCCACTCCTTATCCTAACTGCTCTGTGATAAATCTGAATAGTGGCAAACTAGGCCTATGGTTTAGAAACTCAGGGCACTGATAGAATCTAACAGACCACAGCAAGACGAAGATAATGTTTCCACCAAGACTTAAACAGATCTTAAAGAAAAGCAATTAATATTAAAGTACAAATGAACCTAAAAATCAACTACCTTATGATTCAGCAATCCCACTTCTGGGTATATATACAAAGGAAATGAAATCTGGATCTTGAAGGGATATCTGCCCTCTCATGTTCCTTTCAGCATTATTGGCAATAGCCAAGATATGGAAACAACCTAAATGTCCGTCAGCAGATGAATGGATAAAGAAAACGCGGTGTGTATATATACAAAGGAATATTATTCATCTTTTAAAAAAGGAAATCCTGCCATTTGCAACATCATGGATGAACCAGGAGGACATTACGCTAAGTGAAATAAACCAGACAGAGAAAGATAAATACTGCATTATCTCACGTATACGTGGAATTTAAAATAGCCAAACTCAGAGAAGTAGAGAGTAGAACGGTGGTTGCCAGGGGCAGGCAGGAGGGGGAAATGGTGAGATGTTGGTCAAAGGGTACAAAGTTTCAGTTTTGCAAGATAAGTGAGTTCTGGAGATCTAACGTACAGCGTGGTGACTATAGCTAACAATACTGTCTTCTATACTTGAAATGTGCTAAGAAGGTAGATCTTAAGTGTTTTCACCACAAGAAAAAAAAAGGAAGAAAACAGTAACCATGTGAAGTGATGGATATGTTAATCAGCTTGATTGTGGTGATCATTTCACAATGTATATATGTATCAAAACACGGAGGGGCCGGCCCCATGGCGTAGTGGTTGAGTTTGGCACGCTCCGCTTTGGCAGCCCAGGTGTGCGGTTTCAGATCCTGGCTCGGACCTATACCACTCGGCGGCCATGCTGTGGCTGCAACCCACATACAAAATAGAGGAAGATTGGCACAGATGTAACTCAGGGCTAATCTTCCTCAAGCGAAAAAATAAGAAGAGGAAGATTGGTAACAGATGTTAGCTCAAGGCGAAACTTTCTCAGCATAAAAGAAAAAAAACATTGAGCTGTACACCTTAAATATATACAATTCCTCTGTGTCAATTATATTTCAAGAAAGCTGAAAAAAAATTTTAAAAATCAACCAACAAAGCAATGACAGGAAACTGTAATGTCAAATAGCCAGCATGACTAAAAGCCCAGAATCGTACTGTAGCAAAAAATATGCCAGCTCACCTGAAATGGATATTTATTTTGACAAGGAATGACACCATCATCATTCTTCACTATTTCCACACACTTGATTTTTGAAACATCAATAAATCCCTTTCTGTATTTTTTCTGTTAAAAGAAAAAAAACGGGGGAGGACCATTACAATCATAAGAAAAAAACGTTATTAATAGTAACATTTGTTAATGAATTAATTATCTAAATCATGACTCCCTTTATTGTTAAAATTGTTCAAAATACTAACATTGTAAGGACTGTAATCAAAATAATTAAGTCCTTTAATTTCTAAAGATGAAACTGTTCTGTCCTTTCTCCAAAAAAAGCTCTAGAACAGAGAAACAGACTCTTTTATTGTCGCCTTCCCCTCTCAGACACACACCTTAACTTCTTCAACTTCTTGATGACAACCCCCTAAAAGAAAACATCAAAGTCCAAACCAAGCAAAACTCCCTGTACTCAATCACAGATGCAAACTCCAGCTGGTTACCTTTTCCCCTCCAGCACACAGAACTCAGGAGGACGTGAGGTGGACTTAGGGCATTCACCTAAAGCCTCCATTGACACTCTTTTATTGAATGTTCTACTTTTCTTCCCTATTGCCCTCCCTCTCTGCTCACTACAAATCTCCCTGCAACAAATAACTAATGACATATGAAGACAACCCCTCTCCCCCCCACAATCATTCGCACCCTTGGGTATAGTAATCTCATCTCTGAGAATTTATCCCAGGGAAAAATCCAAAAGAATATAAAGTAGTATGTGCAAAAATAATTTGATATATCACCTCCAATCAAATTATTATAAACACAATGTAGAAATAAAAAATATTTACTGAATAATATTAACAGATACATTCCACTCAAAAAGCTATATAAAGACTAAGGTTACTTTTTTGAGGTAGGGTAGATATTCATATGATAAAGAATGGAAGGGAAAGTAGAGAAACGAAGAACATTACAGTATTTGAGGTGACCCAGCCATTTCCTGGCCCTGGTCACTCAAAATTGCTTCATCTAATACTTTGAAATTCCCCTCTGGCTACAACCTTTGGGCCCCCTACGCTGCTCCCAGGAACCTGCTCTGCATCCTGGCTGTCACCAGAAGACTTTCAGACCTGCCAACTCTCCCCGGCCATCAGCTCCATCTGACATCTGACTAGACTACTCTAGCTCTCCTTTCATTAGTGCATCTGCTCTCGAGCACTCACTCTTTCTCTCTCTCTCTCTCTCATACACACACACACACACACACACACACACACACACACAAATCCCATATCCCCTTGACATTTTTGTCACTCCCAAGTTCTATCCAAACCTTTCCCTATTCCTGCATACCTGGCTGCAGAAGGTCATAAAACAATCCTAACTGTCTTCTCTAAGCTTAGCCAGGCCTTCACTGCTGCTCCTCATTTCTCTTGTGCCTTCATGGAGACCACCAGTCTCATCAGAACTACAATCCCTTCCCATTCCCATTGTCCCAGTGGACAATCGCCTTCACTGCTTTATGGAGAAGAGAGCAGCCATCCCATGAGCACACCTCCAACTTCTTCCTTCTGCAGGTCAAAAGCACCCTAAGATTTACCCTTTTTTATTCTCTTTCATCCTGTCTCTAAGACAAAGCTAAAAGGATACAACAGCTAAGACAGTGCAGTTGGCACTTAACAGATGTTATTTCATTTTATGCTCACAAAATTCTCCTCACTTTACAAACTGCAGCTCAGACAAGTTAAATACTCTACCCAAGGACCCCAACTGACCCCAAAGCCCACTAGACCCTGGGATGCCCAAGCCGCAAACAGGTGACAGAATTAACGGAGCCAAGTCCCCAAGGGGGCAATAAGGATTCTGAGCATGGACTGAGCCTCAGGCAGCACAGGAAGGGGGACATTCTCCATAGTCGTGCTCTTGGAAGGCATTTACTTCTCTGCCTGTGGACACATTCAGGCCTCACCCATCCACATCAAGAACTTTTCTTGCGGCCCTGCTACTGCCCTAACCCTTCTCTTCCCTTCCTGAAAGAGAAGAAATTTACACCCTCAGCTTTCATTTCCTTCCCACCCACTCCTTCTTAACCACTTGCCATCTGCCTCCCACCTCACCACAGCCTGCTAAAGCCGTTCTCAAAAACATCACCAGTGACCATACCCGGCGGTCTTTGCTCAGTTGTCATCCGGTCAAACCTTCTGAGGCATTTGGGAGTGCCAACACTCTCTTCTCCCTTAGCGGCCTTGATTGTGAGTCATTCTGGTTTTCCTTGTCTCCCTTCCCCTCAGTTTCCCACAGTTTCCCCTCAGTTTCAACTGTGTCAAGGAATTCACAAACTCAAGATAGGGGAAGCTCATTTCCTGAGCATACAGTCCAAATATTGTGCCATTTAAGCTTCACAGCTATTCTGTAAAATATGTATTATTAGACACATCTTACAGAAGGAAGAAACTAAAATTAAAATACCTTGCCCAAGTTTACCTGTGGCAGACATACACAGTATCTATTTATTATACAATGTAGTAAATATTGTATATAAAAAAGATGCCAAGAGAACACAGAGGAACTAAGGCCTAAATGACAACCTCAGGAAAGAAATTCTGATATATGATAGAGAGGAAATGAACAGCACATGCAAAGAAAAACATACTCCAGAATGACCTCAGTTGCCTCATCTATAAAAGAGGAATAATAATATCTACTTCATAGATACTATTACCTAGTTATGAGAATTAAATGAGTTAGTAATTGCAAAGTGCTTAGAAGAGTATCTGGCCTATAGTATGATATCTGTAAGTGTCTGCTACATAAATAAATAAGTAGCAAAAAAAGATCAGTGTGGCTGAAGCACAGGATGCATGAGGCAGGACGGAAAGGTGAGCAGGGACCAGCTTGTAAAGAACCTGGTGCACAGTGTTAAGAGGTCTGGTCAGACAGGGCCACCCACCCTGCTCCTGGGGCCTGCAGCAGTTAATGGGCACAAGAAATTGCCAGAGCGCCATCTTCCTATTAACAAGTCACACATGTTCCTTGTAGAAACCTTAGAAAATACTAACAGCACGAAGAGAATCAAATGACCCTTAATCCCCCGACCCTGAAGAAAATCACTATAGACATCATGGAGTTTTTCCAGACATTGCTCTTAGGGGTCATTTTTCACCTGCCAGCTCGCTTACCCCTCGAGCAGCAAACTATAGTCTGATTCCAAGATTCCTGTCTCCACCCACCACCTGCCCCTGCTATTACAAGCAGCTGTTAGATAGATGCGGGTCAATCTATACAGGCAAATTTAGGATGGTCTGTATACTGGCTTGGCTTATGCCCCCTAAATTCATGTTCTGTGATATATAATCTGTTTAGGTACTGTACTAACATTTGGGCTCATTAATTCAAATATCTTGCTCTGAGGTTTGCAAATAAAGGTTCAAATTTAAGTTGCTCATTCATTATTTTATCTATGCCATCACCAAACACTGATCAGACACCAAGCACAGTGCTGTGAGCTGGAGCGTCAGTTATGGAAGGGGGCTGAGGGTCTCCTCAAGAGTTCACAATACTATGGTGGGTGGAAGAGGAAGAGAGGAATGATTCATCATCAAATAGTGAGGGAGGCATGTGAGCTCATCGCGTGCTATGGAGTGGGGCAGTGACTGGGCCAGGAGAAGCTGGGGACGTTTCAGGGAAGGAGGTGACATTTTGATTGGCTTTTAAAGGATAAGTAGGAGTTTCCCTGTAGAGAAAGTGGAGAAGAGAGTTCCAGGCAGCAAAAATAACAAAGCTCTGATTTAGGGAACAGAAAGAAATTCATTATGGCTGAAGCTCAGGGTGGTTCAGAGGAAGTGTATGAAATGACATCAAAAAGGTTATTTGAGACCAAGTTAGGAGGATGCTTTATATGCCAGACTTAGGAGTTTGGATTTATCCTGAGCAATTTTAAGTGGGGAATGAGGAGGGCTGGACTGAGGTGTGTTTTTGAAAAATAATTACTAATGGCAGTGTGACGAGTGGGTGGAGACGGAGGCTAGCAGAGACTGCTGCAATATTCAGGTGAGGGATAACGGGGCTGTGAACCCAGTCGACGGCAGTAAGTAGGTGAGGAACAGCAGGGATGCCAGAGTATCAGGAAGTAGAATCCACACAACTTTGGGATCAGTGAGATGTGAGGATTAAGAGAGGAGAAGGAGTCAGGGAGCCTCAGGGATTTTGAGTTTCAGTGACCAGTAGACACCGATATCATGAACCATAAGGAACACAACAGAATCAGGTTTGAGAAGGCAAGGTTGGGAAATACTGTTTGAGTTGACTCTTGGACAACCAGGCGAAAACGTTTGCAAGGAATTGAAAGTATGGGACACGAACACAGAAATGCTTAGCACTTTCTTTATAGATAAACAGAATTCTGCTTTTCACAACACATATACGGCACATACAGTAGAATCTTCTAGACACACCTTGGGGTAACCCTGGGAGGTTAGGCAGAATGAGGAAGAAAAGGTTCGGAAGGATTAAGAGACTCACCAGAGGGAATCCTGCAAGTTACTGAAAGCGCCAGATGCCCTCTTAACACCTGGTCTCTCAACACGTGGTCTTCACACTCTGGTCGTTTTTTCTCCATTTAGAGTATTTAAAATTTCTTCAATAAGAAAATTACTTTGTGATTACTGAAGTATGCTATATATTATTGTTAATATTGTGGCCCAAGGAGAAATATTCAAATTACTTCACATTACTTTTTTCATGTGAAGTTTCCCTTCTATTTCTATAGCCTTCGCCCTGTCCACTAGACTGAAAATCACGATTAAGCTGAGAGCTCCTGTTACTCATCTTTGAATCCTCCAAGCTGAGAAGACTGCCTGGCACTTAGTAGATGTTTAGTAAACAGTGTGCTGAGCCAGTCTGCAAAGCAGGATGAGTGACACTGTGTGTGTGCATGCATGTGTCTCTGTATACGATATTTACATCTCCTCTCCTGCACATCCTCTGTTTATTTCGCAAAGCTTGAAAATGAGGTAAGTAATGGCCACTTTACACATTTGTAAACCAGCATAAATGGGGAAACTAGACAGAGAGATGAAATATAACTTGCTTAAAACCACATATCAACTGTATGGCAGAATTGGGAG